AAAAAAAAAAAAAAAAAAGTCTTGTGAAAGCAGTAATTTAGTGATTTAATGAGTCTGATGTTCCATAGTTGGTGTTTTTTGGGGTTTTTTTGTTTTTTGTTTTTACCATTGAGGTACAGGATTGGAATCTCCTTAAATATTGTTATCTTGGTAGTCAGCAGTCACCTTGGCATTTTATGCAGGCTTTACTGCATGTTCATAGTAATGAGATTAAAACATAGTCATGCTTCAGATGCAACCCCAATAAAGCATGAGGTTATAGTTGGCCGTGGAGTGATGCTCGCTCTCTGTCCTTGCAAATTGAGTCCTCTTCACAATGGAAGATAGCTTTATATGATAATGTAAATTACTTTGTAGACCGTGAGTTTATTTTTAATAGAAAAATCTCAAACAACTGAGCAGTGGGAAGTGTCCTAAACTCTGCAGTGCATTAGGTTCACTAGATTTCTCTCATTTCTCCAGAGTCACGGACTGCACACCTCTCGGACAGGTGAACTTGGTCCATCTTTCCTTTGGTCCCCCTGGTGTGCTTTTTTTTTTTGCATGTTTGCATTTACATTTTCTTGTATTAAAGGAAACAAATTGCTCACGATTAGTGTGACAACATAAAAGGAGCAGAAGACCTGGGAAATAGTTGCTTCTAGCTGGGAAAGTCAGTTTTGTAGAAACTCACTTTTTTCAAAATGAGTTGAAACCACCACCTGCTTTGCAAGCACAAGGTCCCACTCCAAGTTTGATCCCCGGTACCCAAAAAAATGAGTTGAAGCTGGGGATTTAGCTCAGTGGTTCAGCCACCTGCCTCGAAAGTGCAAGGTCCTGAGTTAGATCCCTGGTACCAAAGAAGTAAAAATGAGTTGAAGCCAGGTGTGGTGGTACACACTTATAATCCCAGCACTGGGGAGGCTGAGACAGGGGGATCACTGTGAATTCAAGGCCAGCCTGGGCTACATAGTGAGTTCAGAGCCAGCATGAACTACAAAGCAAGACCCTGTCTCAAAAAAAAAAAAAAAAAATGAGTTGAAAGACAAAGATAGATGAACCTTGGCCAACATTTTACAAACACCTATTTGTTTTTTAAATACTCCTTGGAATGCAGGCCAACTAGAATATCTTCATTCACGTATCACTGTTCAATCATGAATCCAGAAAAAGTTAATTTGGAGAGTGCGTCTCTGATTACCAAATATATACATAATAAGACAGCTGTAAGTAGTGACAACTGATAAGTTCACTGACTAAAAACTAAAAATCATCATGTTCAGAGTTTCTAGTCAAGGTTAAGAAATAATCCTGAAGGCCAGGCATGGTGGCGCACGCCTGTAATCCCAGCACTCAGGAGGCTGAGGCAGGAGGATCGCTGTGAGTTCGAGACCAGCCTGGGCTACAAAGTGAGTTCCAGGTCAGTCTCAACTACATAGTGAGACCCTGTCTCAAAAAAAGAAAAAAAAAATCTTGGATGGGCTGGGGATTTTGCTGTGGTGCCGCCGCCTGTGTCGCAAGCACAAGGTCCCAAGTTCGATCCCCGGTACCAAAAGAAAAAGAAAAAAATAATCTTCGGCTATATCAAGTTGTCTCTACCCATTTAGATAAAAATCCACTGATGCACATCTATAATCCCAGCACTTGGGAGGCTGAGGCAGGAGTAGCAAATTCAAGGCCAGCCCAGCCTGGGTCACATAGAGAGTTCCAAGCTACCCCAGATACAGGGTGAGTCCCTGTCTTAAATAAATAAAAGTTCAAAGACCTTGCACTAAATCAGACTTGTGGTCTATTGTGGAAACCAACACTTCCTGTTGAAATAGAGTTATGTCCTGCGAACTCTTGGAGTTCTCTCCTGCATGGCCTTCTTGTTGTATGGAAGATTTATGTCCATCTATGCAGATAATATGCGATTTCTATATTGTTTCCTGTGTAGTCCATAATCTTCCTAACTCACACTGGGGACAGGAGAGGTCGAGGCGGCCAATCCTGTTATTGTGCCATATTCTCCCCTTGCTCCTCTGGGTAAGACTGACATATTTTCTCCATTGTGCGCGTCCATTGGGTATAAGGAAACTTCCTCACTCATTTGGTCTGAATTAAACTAGTGTTGAATCTCCTATATTATCTGAACGTGTTTGTGATCTGTTGTTCCATTTGGGGACACATTGCCTTTCTGGCACTGTAAGCTGTAGTCAATACTCAGACTTCAGAAAGCTGGTCAGTAATTTACATGTACGTGTCCCATACCGTAGTGTGCTTGAAGTAACCGTCCATAGTGTGTAGTAGTTTGTTAACTGTGAACTTTAACTCTCCAGTGTTTTGAGGACCTCTAGACATTCCTTGTCCTATCAAGGTGACAAAAGCAGAATGTAATTTGGGGGGAATCTTCGTGATTACTCGTAACAAGTTTTGTTTTTAAAACTAAAAAATAAAGTTAGCTGGTTTTTTAATCAGTCCATTGAATGGAGTTCTTTGTGTACAGTATTTTCAGTCTATATTACTTATATTTAGGTCACAAAAAAAGGCAGGAAAATGAAATATTACCTTTGTTCCTCTAACAGGAGGCCGGCCGAACATGAATGCTGTTCTGGGCCAGAGTTCAGGGCCAGGCGAGGTGAGTCACCGCTGCCTCTGTAAATAACCATGCCATCCAGCTCTTCACCAAGTAGAGGTTTTGCCCCGGTTTACTCCTCCATTGAAAATGATTTATTCCTGGTAAAGCCTTACTTGCCCTTGGTATAAAAAATAATTGTAAAAATCTCCAAAACACTGGAACTGGAAATGACTGTTGAGGTTCTCTAGTATTTTAATATTTATTTTTAGGCCATAGAATCTGCTGCCTGTTAAAATATAATCT